CCATACACTACCATTCAAATATTTGGGGTCGGTTTTTTTGTGTGTTTTTGAAAGAAGGCTCTTATGCTCACTAAAGCTACATTTATTTGATCAAAAACGGTAAAACAGTAATATTGTGAAATATCAATATCATTTAAAATAATTGTTTCTATCTCAATATATTTTTATTTTATAAATAAGTTATAGCTGTGATGGTAAAGCTGAATTTTCAGCAGCCATTTCTCCAGTCTTCAGTTGTCACATGATCCTGTAGAAATCATTTAAATGCGATGATTTGGTGCATTTCTAATTCTAAATGTTGAAAACAGTTGTGCAGCCTAATACATTTGTGTAAACTATATTACTGTTTTTTTCAGGATTCTTTGATGAATAGAAAGTTGAAAAGAACAGCATTTATTTATAAATGTCTTTACTGTCACTTCTGATCAATTGGTTCCTTGTTAAATAAAATTAATTTCTTTATAGAAATGTAAGACTGGAGTAGTATATCTGTCAATATGTTGCAATTGCTTTTCTAACAATACTGCACTGAAGCAACTGCATTGCAATAAATTGTATCATGACAGATGTACCATAATGTTTATTGTACCTTGAAGTATTTGACGGCACCCAGCTTTAATTTGCATATCTTCATCTGATTGTATTACAAAGGTTTAAGCATCTGTTGCCTGCCATACTTGCTTCTGAGGAGGTTACATAATGGAAAATGTGGTATCACTTAGATGAATATGAATAATTTTCACAGTGGTACCACACATTACCGATGCTATACAGGAATGGGTCATGCGACAGGCGAAGGTCTCAGTGGACGATGACGGTATTGAACCAGAAGTGTGTGTCATTGAGGTATATCTGTCTGTTTTGTGCTGTACATTTTGAGGAAAAATTACATTTTTTTCTATTAAGGACAGAGGAACAGTTTTTAAATGTAAAATACATTTTGTATTCAGGAATTATGTTCAATAAAGGAAATATATATATATATATATATATATATATATATATATATATATATATATATATATATATATATATATATATGCAAGCTTTGCATACTTTTTTCCACCACTGTCCTTCTAAAGTAAGAAAAAAGTATCATTACATTTTGATATAGATATTAATATAGGTTTTAACATAAATACATTATAATATAATTAAAATTAAATTAAATTACAATTTTTCCCCCCCCACACAGCTTGGAGGTACAGTCGGAGATATTGAGAGTATGCCTTTCATTGAAGCTTTTAGACAGTTTCAGTTTAAAGTTAAACGGGAGAATTTTTGTAACATCCATGTCAGTCTTGTACCTCAGGTAAGAGGGTTTTTTTTTACTAATAAACATTTGTAGTTGAAAAGTGATTTTAAAAACTCCTATGGTCTTTGGATGTATTTTTAGCCCAATTCAACAGGAGAACAGAAGACCAAACCCACACAGAACAGTGTTCGGGAGCTTCGTGGACTTGGCCTGTCACCTGATCTCGTCAGTCTTTACTCTCTATTATATGCTATAATATGCTATATATATAGCCAATGCAAGTAAAGTCACTCCAATTCTGAGAATGCATCATATTTGTTTGCAGATTGTTTGTCGTTGCTCCACTCCATTGGACACTGCCGTGAAAGAGAAGATCTCCATGTTTTGCCATGTAGAACCTGAACAGGTGATCTGCATACATGACGTGTCCTCCATCTACAGAGTACCTCTACTCCTGGAGGATCAGGGCATTGTTGACTACTTCTGCCGCAGGCTGGACTTGCCCATTGAGATGAGACCTCGCAAAATGCTCACAAAATGGAAGGAGATGTCAGACCGGTTTGTACTGTTTGGATTCGCCTAACCGTCTCAAAAATTGTATTCTTCCCAGAAATCCCAAGTTTGATACAGCTGTTTTAAGCAGTCTGTCCTTGTTGCATAGATCTGACCGACTCCTGGAGCAAACCTCCATTGCTTTAGTAGGCAAGTACACCAAGCTTTCAGATTCGTATGCCTCTGTTATTAAAGCACTGGAGCACTCTGCTCTCGCCATCAACTATAAGCTAGAGGTCAAGGTAAGGAATGCCAGAGGAACTAGTAGCAATTTCTACTAGTGCTTTTATGATGAAGTTGATAGTTTTGCCCCATCTGAGAGTGCCTTTTGAAATCAAATAGTATTTTTGCATACTTCACAATATTAGTTTTTTTATACTGTATTTTTGATCAAAGAAATGCAACTTGGTGACCATAAGAGACTTTCACTACTTTCAAAAACATTTAAAAAATCTAACCTACCCCAAACTGTTAAACTGTAATGTTTTTTCAAGTGTGTAAGTGTGATAGTATAAAATGGTACTTCATTTCAGTACATCGATTCGGCAGACCTAGAGCCAGCAGCGTTGCAGGAGGAGCCGGTGAAGTACTATGAGGCCTGGCAGAAGCTCTGCAGTGCTGAGTGAGTGTACCCTCAAAAACACTAGAAATTTACATAAACTCTGTTTTGTCCATCAACAGAGAACATTGAAATGATAAGTTTTAATCTGCTGGTGTCATATCAGCTCTGTGGGTTCTTGGATAATGTTAACCAATATCCAGATAGCTATTTAGGCTTTATATTAGCAAACTTCAGTTTGTTCTGGCTTTATTCTGGCATATAATGGCCTACTTTTTCACAGTGTAAACAGTACTCAATGGTTAAAATCAGGTCCTGCTTCTACTGTTTTTCTCATGACAAAGACTACATGTAAATAGTTTACAAACTACCATTGACTTTGAATTAGTGCTGTCAAACGATTAATCGCATCCAAAATAAAAGTTTTTGTTTGCATAATATATGTGTGTGTACTGTGTATATTTATTATGTATATATAAATACACCCACATGCATGTATATATTTTTTAAAAAAAAACGTTACATTTATATATTCAATATATTTATATATATTATAAATTATATGAATGTAAATATATACATGTAAATATTTTCTAAATATATAATGTATGTGTGTATTTATATGTGGATGTGATCGCTTGACAGCACTACTTTAAATATTTCACTTTGAATATTTTGTAATCGAATGTTCATTTGAATATTTGCTTGACTGTTAGTGGGGTACTTGTTCCTGGAGGCTTTGGTGTGCGAGGCACTGGGGGAAAAATCCAAGCTATTAACTGGGCGAGGAGACAGAAAAAGCCATTTTTAGGTAACAAAAAACTGGCAGTGCAATGTTAGTGGCAAAATATGATGTAAACACTAGTTACTTTGACAGCATGCCTGTGGTTATCCCAATCTCGTTTGGCAGGTGTTTGTTTGGGCATGCAGCTGGCAGTGTGTGAATTTGCTCGTAATGTACTTGGCTGGGAAGGTAAGAACACCCATACGAGATTGTATGATATGTCTTTTAAATCAAACTTTGCACATGCTTTTAAAGTGTTTTTATTTTAACTGCTTTCCTCTTAACAGATGCCAATTCTACAGAATTTGACCCTGAAACAAAACATCCAGTGGTAGGTAATGGTGTGGTAAAACAAATGAGCAAATCTGCATAATGGTTCTTTTTCTTTTGGTGTGATGAGACCTATTTCTCTGCTATCAGGTGATTGAAATGCCCGAGCACAATCCGGGGCAGATGGGAGGAACCATGCGGTTGGGGAAAAGGCGCACCTTATTCAAAAGCACCTCCAGCTTTCTTCGTAAGTTGTGATTTTTTTTGTCCCACAGTAAACTGTGAAAGTCGCTCATCACAAAATTAGAAACTGATACTGTATTTAAAGGTTTTAAATTTGCAGAATATTTTAATTGTTTTGTTGTAGGAAAGCTGTATGGAGATGCTGAATATGTGGACGAAAGGCATCGACATCGCTTTGAGGTTCGGTTAATATTTACAAAATGACTTTTTAAATGATTTCTTTCTGTTTGTTTAATTGGTTTCTTTTGTGTTTTTCTAGGTGAATCCAGAATTGAAGCAGCACTTCGAGGATAGAGGTTTTCGATTTGTGGGTCAGGACCTAGAGGGGGAGCGAATGGAGATCATTGAACTTGAAGGTCAGTGAATCTCCAGTATCTAAACCTGTCTGGAGAGGTAGTCAGTATGCGCTTCAGCTTGTTTCTTCTGTCACGACAGATCACCCTTATTTTGTCGGAGTGCAGTACCACCCAGAATTCACTTCTCGCCCCATCAAACCCTCACCTCCTTATTTTGGCCTTCTACTGGCAGCATCTGGGAAACTACAGAACTACTTACAAAAAGGCTGCCGGCTCTCACCTCGGTAATTTGCCTAATTAACTCTCTTAGATGAGCTGAACTGTTGAAAATTGCTTCAAGCAGTATGTCTTACCTGGTTTTTCTTCTCTCTCAGGGACACATACAGTGACCGAAGTGGCAGTAGTTCACCAGACTCAGAGATATCTGAAATCAAATTCCCATCACTTTCTTAAAGTGGAAATACACATATAATCATGAAATCAAAACTTTCATGACATGAATTTGTTGTTTGAATAAAAAATTTAACGTGTCCTTTTTAAGCAAAATATAGTGTATGCATACTGTTCTGTCAACAGTGATATACTTAAAAAAAAAAAAAGAATAATATGGGGCAAGAAGAGAAGCATTATACCGTATTAAAAGTATATTCATATGAAATAAAAATGATGTGTGTCGACATGAGATTAGTGTGATAATATCGCTTACTGATCTCGTCTGTGCAAACATTTTTCAGCTCCTGTAAATACTTTCACATATCAGAAAAAGTCTACATAGAGAAAACTAGATAATATTCACACCCCTTAAATAGTAATCCCACATCTAGATAGCATTTAGACAGTTTACAGCTTAAAAAAAGAAAACTTTTGACTTCCATTGTATACACATTACTGTAAATGTAAATTATGTTAGTTTTTTCAAACTGAGAGAAGAATGAAAATTATTGTCCCCCATATAACGTAACGCATTAAACTAAAAACATTCTTTTATTACAAAACGCTAATTTGAAATAGACAGCTGGGCTTTCATTTTGTAAAACCCATTCTCTGAGATCTCGCGATAATTCCGCAGAGCTCCGTTCGCCAGAAGAGGCGCCTGTAGAAGGAATAACAACATCAACTTAAATTGCCTTTTGAATATTTCCAGCTCATAAACGTCGAAGATGGGTAGATAATACAGAATTATTTGGATCAGGTACTACACTAATTCACCGTCTAACATGATTATATAAAACAAAAGGAAAAGCATAACGAGATGGCACAAATGTTTACTTGCTAGCTGCTAATATGCTAAGCTGAAGTTGATCTGGTGAAGAATTCTAGCAACCACAAAAACATGATTTAATTGTTCGTTTGCATTATTACATTTTTTAAATATCAGTATTACATGCGCATTTGCCCAAGTAGTTCAAGTAGATAATCTCAGAAAACATCAGTGAAGCTAAAAAGCTAAAGTCGTTAGCCTGTAGAGCAGATGACAGTTCTGTGATGTTTTTCCTAGTGAGCGCTGCATTGAGTGACTCTAGAAGGTCTTTTTTGGGGTACGTAAAAACAATGTATTTAAGGGTGTATTCACACCTGTCTTGTTTGGTTCGATTGAATCGGACTCAAGTTCGTTTCCCCTCTTGGTGCGGACCTTTTTGGCAGCTGTCAAAGCAATCGCGCCGAGACCCAGCTGAAGAGGTGGTCTCGGTCCGCTTCCAAACGAACTCTGGTACGGTTCGTTTTAGGTGTGAATATGACCCGACCTCGATCCGACCCAATTGCAGAAATCACGCTCAGAAACAGACAGACAGCTAGCTCGCGCATATAGTGCTGTTATTTGCGCTTCAATGGCTTAAATCACTTGTTTTAAACCACAATGCTTAAAAACACACGCAACGTGACATGAGCGCGCTATAGGCTAAAGCTTGCCGCAAAAATGACCATGACTATGTTGGGGGAAAATAGTAAGGAGATATTTGAATTATTTACTAATAAACTAGTGTTTTGTGAGTCAGTGTCGCAATGAAGTTGATGATCCTGACTCGCCATCTCATCATTGGACGCGCCTTTAGAAAGAAATTCATCTTTACGGATTACATAATAACAAGAGTATTTGTTTTGGATTTGAATTATTTCGTTTTGTAGTCATTTAAAGTTTTCTATAGATATATTCATCATGTCTGTAAGGAAAATATTTGCTGAGTTTCGGTTAATTTTTGTGAAGCGCTCCCGAGATGGCAAGCGCATCCTATTCGTTTTCTTTATTTTACAATAGCACAAAGTTTTCTTGATTATTGTGAGTGCACACAAATAAAAATAGACCCTTTACAGTTCCGAACGATGTATTATTCTTACCTTTATGAATAAAAATTACGGCATATTTAATTTGTTTCCACTGATGTCCTGAAGCGCGCTTCAGCTTCCATTCTCAGCATGGATATGCGCCTAATAGCGCATATTTATATAGATTAAATGTTTAAACTAACATTGTGATATGCTTTAAGTATTATATATATTTACTAAGTAACGTAATTAGTTACTTTTTTAGGGAGTAACGCAATATTGTAATGCATTACTTTTAAAAGTAACTTTCCCCAACACTGCTTATATATATATATATATGGATTTTATTTTCGGCAAGTCATAATTACAACATCGTATGACATTGTCTCATATGATGCTCATAAGTTTCTTCACTTTGCGTTAGTATCTAACACCAATTCAGTAAAATAATAAAAATTGCACTACGAAAGATCTCCACGATTAGCCTGTTTTTGCACTTCCTGTTTTTCCCTGCTTGAGAATTTCTGTCCAGTGAATGGATGACTTTAGCACACGTGTGGTTTTGTTTACTATTTCTGGTCCACTTGCAAAAAAGGGCAGTGTGAAAGCGAACCGCACCAAACAAAAAAAAATCAACATTTGTATTTGGTCCGGACCAAAGCAAGTGAACTTGCGGACTTTCCTGGTGTGAATACACCCTAAGCTCAAAGTATTTAATATGTCTTAATACCTTTTTTTGCAGCTGAACAGACCGCACTCTGGCTTTGAAGAGGCTCCTGACAGATAACTCTTGACTAGCATAGTATGACCCAGTACCCACCACAGACTAGTCGCTCTAACTTCTTAACCGTTGTGAAAGCAGAAGCCTCTTCAACACCACCCATCTCCACCAACATGGCCAACAGCACAGTTGCCCCCGGGAAAGTTCCAGGCACCCCTGGACCTGCAGGGAGACTTAGCCCTGAAGGCACTCAGGTGAGACCCCAAGCAATTCAAATGTTTTAGACTTTGCCTCTATTTGTATTCCACATAACATGTATGATCTAATATCCTCCAAACAGGTGCTTAGTAAGAAGAAACTGCAGGATCTTGTGAGAGAAATTGACCCTAATGAGCAACTCGATGAAGATGTGGAGGAGGTAGGTATTACCCTTGCTGTTAGTGATGCACACAAGTATGTATTTTCATAAATGACAAGTCTGTGGGTTGCCTAAACAACTACTCTGTCTTAATGAAGGAATTTATAGTAATAGTTGTATTTTAAAATAAGAAACATCCCCTTACATCCACATTAAAATGTGAATAATATGTGAAAAAAGTGTAAATTAGTCAGTTGATATTGTTCCCTAGTTATCCATTTTTGACAGCTCAGTGCTTATAACATTATTTTATATTATTATTATTATTATTTTATTCAGCAAGGATGCATTAATTTGGTCAAAAGTAACAGCAAAGACATTTGACAAGACAAGGGTCTTGACAAGGTGACAAGAGTTGCGTAAATCAGTGTTTCCCAACCGGGGTGCCGTGTAAAAAAAAATAAATTTTTTTATATTTTTAAAAAAGCATCTATTATATAATATCCATTTCTGATGTCGCCAATAATTAGAGATGCACCGAAATTTCTGCTGCCGAAAATTAGTTCACCGCTCAGGTTTCACTTTCACGTGGTGTGACGCTCCGCGTATTATCCCGCTCTATGCGTGTGCGCTCCGCTCAGTCGCTCCACTCGTATACCGTTCATGCGAATTGGAACAGCAAAGTCCACTCAAAAATTGAGCCGACAGGAAACATCGATGTAGTACAGTATTGTTTCTGTCTGCAATACCCCTACTGTGCTGTAACATGGTGTGATAAATGGGCAACTCTGGTAACGCTGCCCTCTCATTCATTGATCTGCTAACCGCTATGTTATGCTCACATGTTCTGATAATAATAGCTTTCTAGGACTAAACATTATTTGGATAATTGGTAAAAAAAAAAAATAATAAGTTACATATCTTAACCCTACTGTTAGACCTACCTGAAAAACTAAAAAGCTATTTATTTAATTCGAAGGCCTGTCGTTATTTTTTTATTTGTGCTATCATTATTAATTTCTTTATTTCTTCTTATTTTATTACTGACTGCTTACTTGTCATTTTTTATTCAGTTCAAAGTTTGAAATCAAGCTATCTCGTGCTACTGCAACAAAATGACCCCACTGTAAATTAAAAAAAACACTGAGTGAGCCAAAATTTGTGAGATAGCTAGTTATAATGGTAATTAAATAATGTTTACATATGTATAAAAGCCTACATTCAAATCTGTCTTATAAATCGGTCTCTTCATTAGAAATTAGCCCACTGATTGCCACCATTGATGGACAAATTTTTTTTATAATATTAAAAATATCTGTATGACATTATATTCTGCAATTCTTCCCTGTTGTACGGAATATCTATACTTTTCAAATTATCATATCGAAGTTAGAAATTCAAATATTGTGACAAAATTAATTTTGTAGGGTGCCACAAGTTTGTTAAAAATTTCCAAAGGGTGCCACGACTAAAAAAAGGTTGGGAAACACTGGCCTAAATGACTTCTCAATCTTTAGGAAGCGAATTATAATTATAATAAAAAAAAGTATTTAAAAATAAGAAGCATCCCTTTACATCCACTGCTAAAATAGAAGTGTGAAAACCAAAAAAAATAAAAATCTAATAAACTAGTCAGTAGATTGTTTATATGGTTCCCTAGTTATCCATTTTGAATATTAAAATGTAAACATTATTACATATATTTATAATTTTAATACTTTTATTCAGCAAGGATGCATTAGGTTAAAAGTAACAGTAAGGACATATATATAATGTCAAAAAAATCCTGTTTCCAGTAAATACTGTTCTTTTGAACCTTCTGTTCTTTGAAGAATCTTAAAAATGTGTATCATGGTTACCACAAAAATAGCAAGTTAAACATATGTTTATAACATTGATAATGAATGTTTCTTGTGCAGCAATCAGCATATTAGAAACATTTCTAAACCTTTGTCATCACAGGAATAAATTGCCTTATAAAATGTATTAAAACAGAAAACAGTTATTTTAAATAATTTCACAATATTACTCCATCAAATAAATGCAGCCTTGGGTGAGTAAAAGAGATTTAAAAGAGAAAATAGTAAAAATCTTACCAACCCCAAAGTAGTGTCACTATGCTGCTGTCTGTTGATCGGAGTCATTTCCCTTTCCCTTCAGATGCTCTTGCAGATTGCCGATGACTTCATTGAGAGTGTGGTGACGGCGGCGTGCCAACTTGCCCGACACAGGAAGTCAAACACTCTTGAGGTGAAAGATGTCCAGCTACACCTGGGTGAGGCTCTTGTATAGACAGTTCCAAGTGGTTTGAGTGCCTTTTTATGAATTTAAATAAATACACAAATTTTTTTTATGCTGCTTACATTGAACTTTGTTTTTACACTTTGTTTTATTACCATTCTAAAGAATAATATAAGGTAATATAGTCCCTAATCCAATATTGCATCACAGAACGACAGTGGAACATGTGGATTCCTGGTTTTGGTTCAGATGAGATCCGACCGTATAAGAAGGCTTGCACCACAGAAGCTCACAAACAGGTAAGCTATCGTTCTTATGCACTTGAACTGATATGATGAAAAACACATATGACTTGCATACCTAAATATCTTTTTCTGTTCTTTCAGAGAATGGCATTGATCCGCAAAACAACCAAAAAGTAGCAAGATCGGAAGCACCAATAAACATTTTTTTTCTGCAGGTTTTGGAAGTGGAGAGGGATTGAACCTATATATGTTATGTTAATCAGAGAGGCAGAATGCGTTGTACTATTTACAGTACAGTTCTGTTGACTTCGCATTCAAAAGGTGCATAGGAAGTGACGTAAATTGTCTGTACAGTTCACTTTGTGTTAAAACCACCATGTGAACATTTTATTTTGGCACCTTGGTCTCTGACTTGGTGCTGTACGGGGGTTTATTATATTATAGAATCTCATGGATTTCTGTGAAAAACATCAGTTGTTTATTGTTTCTCCCACAAACCGCATTTTCATTCATATTTCGTGTATAGCTGACCCGCCATGCAGTCACACAACGTTTGCTCAGCTGGCATTAATAGCTATGCACAATTACAATCACCATGTATCTGATTTTGTTCATAGTGTTTGGTGTTATAGAATTTATCACTTAAGTAATATTTAGTACTATAGAGGACATCTTTAGTGTGTGACTTTCTAAAGGTAAACAGTCATTTTTACCAGAGAAATAAATACCACTTCCCCATTTAATTCATTGCATTGGAACTAGTGACATAATGCAGAATGGTTAATTGATTAGTGGGAGTTATATATGTGTGATATATGGGAAATGGTGCATAAACCCTTTCTGATGTGGATTTGTGGGCAGATTTGAACATTTCTGTGGAGTTGAACTGAGTATAAACTGTTTTTTGCCATGTATCACAGTGTTTTACAGTCTCTTGTTTTTCATGAATAAAAAACAACTAATTGTGATTTATTCAGACTGAACTCACTCAGATTTTGTGGGACATCATTTCATAAATTACAACTAACATAAACTGTTTCAGCAATGCATCCATGTTCAGGTGCATCTCAATAAATTTGAATGTTGTGGAAAAGTTCATTTATTTCAGTAATTCAACTCAAATTGTGAAACTCGTGTATTAAATAAATTCAATGCACACAGACTAAAGTAGTTTAAGTCTTTGGTTCTTTTAATTGTGATGATTTTAGCTCACATTTAACAAAAACCCACCAATTCACTATCTCAACAAATTAGAATATGGTGACATGCCAATCAGCTAATCAACTCAAAACACCTGCAAAGGTTTCCTGAGCCTTCACAATGGTCTCTCAGTTTGGTTCACTAGGCTACATAATCATGGGGAAGACTGCTGATCTGACAGTTGTCCAGAAGACAATCATTGACACCCTTCACAAGGAGGGTAAGCACATGTACAGTAAATTAACATACTTTCCAGAAGGCCAACAATTCACTAAAAATGTTTTTTTTTATTGGTGTTATGAAGTATTCTAATTTGTTGAGATAGTGAATTGGTGGGTTTTTGTTAAATGTGAGCCAAAATCATCACAATTAAAAGAACCAAAGACTTAAACTACTTCAGTCTGTGTGCATTGAATTTATTTAATACACAAGTTTCACAATTTGAGTTTTAATTACTGAAAGAAATGAACTTTTCCACGACATTCTAATTTATTGAGATGCACCTGTATGTATATATTAGTGAATAGTTTAACTCTTAAATACCTCCAGAATGTCTGTATCAGCAAAAATACATCCATACTTATGGAAATACGTGGCCTTAATAATATGACATAATATGATGAATAGCAGGTAAAATCTTTAACTGATGCAGTAACACTGTTGCCACACTAATAAAGACACCTTTATCCAATGTTGATCCCAGAAATACGAACAAACAATTGGAAATTAAATGTACATATGCATGTATATATGATGTTAATCATGAGTTTCAGTGTGGTTCACAAATGCTGATATCTTGCAGATAAGCACAAATTCTAATACACTAGTCAACATTTAAAGCGGATCAAAACCTTTAATCAAAGTTGTCCTAAAACCGTTCTTGTCTTAGTACAGTTTTGATTAACTTTTTTGATCCACTTCCAATGTTGACTACTGTATATACCTACAATCTGAAAGACCTTTACATTTGCTTTTATGTGTATTTGGCAATGTCAGACACATCCATCCTATTTGAAGGTCTACACAAAATTTGCGAGAACCACATATTGTAAGTTAACAAGCACAGCTCTTGTTTTTCTCAGCGGCTTCATTGTTTTGTATCTTCTGGAGTGTTTGGGCTCTAGGTGCTGAGCTCTTGACTCCATCCCACTCCTCACGCAACTGGATCTCTCCACTTTTTATGCCCTGATAAACCCTCCGGGTCAAGAGTTCAAAGGCCTCTTTCACATTGTGACCTGTTTTTGATGAGGCCTCGATGTACGGCGCTCCCAATTGGCTTGCAAGCTTTTCTGCCTCAGTTCGGTCCACGGCTCGCTCTCCAGCTTGGACCCGGTCACTTTTGTGTCCCACCAGTACAAAGAGCACAGTGTAGGGTTGCACACGTTCACACACCTCTGCATACCACTGCTGCACGTTTTCGAAAGATTTGCGGTTGCCCAGATCGAACACCAGAAGACCTCCGACTGAGTTACGGTAGTAGGAGCGAGTCACAGACCTGCAAATGTACCATAGTTTTAGGGTTAGTTTTTCCAGACCTCTGCAATCTGTATAATTCTGAAATCCTTTAAAAGGAAAGTCAGTTAACACAGCCATATTTGCAACGCCTCCGGGGAGCTATTTCAGGCATGCAAAACCAACTCTTATTTCCTTGAATGAGGAAATACTGAAATTGGAAAAGCAGCTTGTCAAACTCACATTTAAATAACATAAAATCAGCAATAACTGTTGCATAAATGTTATTTCTTATCATCAAATTTCCTATCATCCCCCACTGATGCAGTGATGCAATGACTTTACCAGTTGGCAATTGGCTATTTTATTCATAAGGCAGGACTTGTTCCACCTTATTGTGCACATGTACAGTAAATTAACATACTTTCCAGAAGGCCAACAATTCACTAAAAATGTTTTTTTTTATTGGTGTTATGAAGTATTCTAATTTGTTGAGATAGTGAATTGGTGGGTTTTTGTTAAATGTGAGCCAAAATCATCACAATTAAAAGAACCAAAGACTTAAACTACTTCAGTCTGTGTGCATTGAATTTATTTAATACACAAGTTTCACAATTTGAGTTTTAATTACTGAAAGAAATGAACTTTTCCACGACATTCTAATTTATTGAGATGCACCTGTATGTATATATTAGTGAATAGTTTAACTCTTAAATACCTCCAGAATGTCTGTATCAGCAAAAATACATCCATACTTATGGAAATACGTGGCCTTAATAATATGACATAATATGATGAATAGCAGGTAAAATCTTTAACTGATGCAGTAACACTGTTGCCACACTAATAAAGACACCTTTATCCAATGTTGATCCCAGAAATACGAACAAACAATTGGAAATTAAATGTACATATGCATGTATATATGATGTTAATCATGAGTTTCAGTGTGGTTCACAAATGCTGATATCTTGCAGATAAGCACAAATTCTAATACACTAGTCAACATTTAAAGCGGATCAAAACCTTTAATCAAAGTTGTCCTAAAACCGTTCTTGTCTTAGTACAGTTTTGATGAACTTTTTTGATCCACTTCCAATGTTGACTACTGTATATACCTACAATCTGAAAGACCTTTACATTTGCTTTTATGTGTATTTGGCAATGTCAAACACATCCATCCTATTTGAAGGTCTACACAAAATTTGCGAGAACCACATATTGTAAGTTAACAAGCACAGCTCTTGTTTTTCTCAGCGGCTTCATTGTTTTGTATCTTCTGGAGTGTTTGGGCTCTAGGTGCTGAGCTCTTGACTCCATCCCACTCCTCACGCAACTGGATCTCTCCACTTTTTATGCCCTGATAAACCCTCCGGGTCAAGAGTTCAAAGGCCTCTTTCACATTGTGACCTGTTTTTGATGAGGCCTCGATGTACGGCGCTCCCAATTGGCTTGCAAGCTTTTCTGCCTCAGTTCGGTCCACGGCTCGCTCTCCAGCTTGGACCCGGTCACTTTTGTGTCCCACCAGTACAAAGAGCACAGTGTAGGGTTGCACACGTTCACACACCTCTGCATACCACTGCTGCACGTTTTCGAAAGATTTGCGGTTGCCCAGATCGAACACCAGAAGACCTCCGACTGAGTTACGGTAGTAGGAGCGAGTCACAGACCTGCAAATGTACCATAGTTTTAGGGTTAGTTTTTCCAGACCTCTGCAATCTGTATAATTCTGAAATCCTTTAAAAGGAAAGTCAGTTAACACAGCCATATTTGCAACGCCTCCGGGGAGCTATTTCAGGCATGCAAAACCAACTCTTATTTCCTTGAATGAGGAAATACTGAAATTGGAAAAGCAGCTTGTCAAACTCACATTTAAATAACATAAAATCAGCAATAACTGTTGCATAAATGTTATTTCTTATCATCAAATTTCCTATCATCCCCCACTGATGCAGTGATGCAATGACTTTACCAGTTGGCAATTGGCTATTTTATTCATAAGGCAGGACTTGTTCCACCTTATTGTGCATTGCAATTTCTTCCATTCGTAAACTCTTAAAAATAATGGGTCTTTATTGGCATCTCTGGTTCCATGAAGAACCTTTAACATCCATGGAACATTTCCATTGCACAAAAGGTTCTATAGAAGAAAAATATTCTTTAGATGATTAAAATGTTCTTCACACCTAGAAAGCAGTTCTTTTAAGAACTGCTCACTGAAAGGTCCATTGGGGAACCCAATCGATTCTATCGATTTTATGCTGGAAAAAACACTTTTTTGGAACTTTTATTTTCAAGAGTGTAGTAATACGAATAAACCACTGTTTTAGCAATGTTTATTATCAAATAAATAATGTATTTTAATTGCCCCCTTCACCTTGTCACAAGGCTTGCCACCCACGAGACTTTGGAATGACATGAGGTTGAGTAAATGATGACCATTTTCCTTTTTGGGTGATCTGCCTGTTTGAAGTCAGCTATGCATACCAGAAAACAGGCCCAACTCCAGCTCTAAGAAGATGTGGAGCCCGGCCTGGCAGTGAATCCATCTTTAGTGTAGACTGACATAATACTTCCTGAAAGTATCATGAGAATACTTGTTGCTGTGATGAGTAATATGTTTCACAATCCTTTTTTGCACAAGCAAGGCAACTTCTTTAAACTGTTTTTAGACACTGAACTTATGACTAAATGTACAGAAATTACTGGGAGGGAAAAAATAGTCCTGTGTGAATTATTCAGCTTAAGCAGGGGTGTCCAAAACTGCTACTGGAGGGCCACTGTCTTGCAGAGTTTAGCTTCAACCACAAATAAACACACATGAACCGGCTAATCAAGTTTTTAAAATAATAAAAATAACAAATAATTGTTGGGGCAAATTTGAGCTAAACTCTGCAGGTCGTTGGCACCCCTGACCTTAAGTGCACGACCTGGAGAATAGTTTGTTCAATTCATGGCAGAACTTTAAAAAATTGGGACTTACCTAAACCTCTCTTGACCAGCTGTATCCCAGAACTGCAGTTTGACCCTCACCCCAGGTTCCACCTCTAGGAAATGTACATAGAAGTCCACTCCGACTGTTTGGTTGATGCACTCCAGAAACAGATCCTCAGTGTAGCGCTTCAACATGGATGATTTGCCCACGGTGGAGTCTCCTAGCATGATGATTCGAAACTGGTACTGCCACAAAGTGAGATCCATGACTTGAACCAGATGAAAGCAGCGAATGAAAAGGCTAGGGTTGACTAAGGACTGTCACTCCACCAGGATCCTCAGAGAATCTCTTACCTTAGAGGTCTTGAAGTTCTCATTGTAAACATAGGTAAAAAATAAACCCAGAGTTCCTCAGCTTCTACTGTGTTTTTCTGCATAGAGCAGAGTCTGTTTGATCGTCGTAGGGGTGGGAGCTTCTGTCTAGCTCATCTGTTTCTTTAATCTTTGCCTGTTCATACTTGTTATTGGGCGGGGTTTATGTGAGAGGCGGAGTTTTTAAATACCAGCAGAAAGTTGGGAGTTTCTCATAGACCAGGAATGAGCATGCAGTATCATATCAGAACAAGCCCAGCATTTCCTGTTGAGGCCAGCTCATGGCATGCATCACATAAAAGCACATGCAATGAGGAAAAACATTTCAGCTAGGTCTTTCTCAATAGGCCAACCATGAGAATGCTTCCACCCCGATCATAACCGCTGAAGATGGCTGGAAGACTTCCAATGTCATGATGAAATCAAGCCCACTATATTCCTCACCAGTGTGCATTACAGGTTAGTTTGCTACAGCAACTTCTTTAAACTGTTTTTAGACACTGAACTTATGACTAAATGTACAGAAATTACTGGGAGGGAAAAAATAGTCCTGTGTGAATTATTCAGCTTAAGCAGGGGTGTCCAAAACTGCTACTGGAGGGCCACTGTCTTGCAGAGTTTAGCTTCAACCACAAATAAACACACATGAACCGGCTAATCAAGTTTTTAAAATAATAAAAATAACAAATAATTGTTGGGGCAAATTTGAGCTAAACTCTGCAGGTCGTTGGCACCCCTGACCTTAAGTGCACGACCTGGAGAATAGTTTGTTCAATTCATGGCAGAACTTTAAAAAATTGGGACTTACCTAAACCTCTCTTGACCAGCTGTATCCCAGAACTGCAGTTTGACCCTCACCCCAGGTTCCACCTCTAGGAAATGTACATAGAAGTCCACTCCGACTGTTTGGTTGATGCACTCCAGAAACAGATCCTCAGTGTAGCGCTTCAACATGGATGATTTGCCCACGGTGGAGTCTCCTAGCATGATGATTCGAAACTGGTACTGCCACAAAGTGAGATCCATGACTTGAACCAGATGAAAGCAGCGAATGAAAAGGCTAGGGTTGACTAAGGACTGTCACTCCACCAGGATCCTCAGAGAATCTCTTACCTTAGAGGTCTTGAAGTTCTCATTGTAAACATAGGTAAAAAATAAACCCAGAGTTCCTCAGCTTCTCCTGTGTTTTTCTGCATAGAGCAGAGTCTGTTTGATCGTCGTAGGGGTGGGAGCTTCTGTCTAGCTCATCTGTTTCTTTAATCTTTGCCTGTTCATACTTGTTATTGGGCGGGGTTTATGTGAGAGGCGGAGTTTTTAAATACCAGCAGAAAGTTGGGAGTTTCTCATAGACCAGGAATGAGCATGCAGTATCATATCAGAACAAGCCCAGCATTTCCTGTTGAGGCCAGCTCATGGCATGCATCACATAAAAGCACATGCAATGAGGAAAAACATTTCAGCTAGGTCTTTCTCAATAGGCCAACCATGAGAATGCTTCCACCCCGATCATAACCGCTGAAGATGGCTGGAAGACTTCCAATGTCATGATGAAATCAAGCCCACTATATTCCTCACCAGTGTGCATTACAGGTTAGTTTGCTACAGAACGTTTCCACAATTATGTGGCTTTCCAAACAGGAGGTGAACAACAATGGAACAGACTCCCTTAGGACGCAAAGACAATTTAGGCCGGTGTTCTGACGATTTGTGCTACCCGCTCAGATTGTGCTACCTCCCATTAAAAAGATAGGTAGCACAAATCGATAGCGAAAAATGCTATCTGTCAGATTGTGCTACCAGCATCTTATTCATGAGGTTTGAGGCTTTTTTAAATGTCCATTCCTACCCCTACCCTAAACCTACCCTACACTTACCCTAAACTTACCCTTAAAACAATGTAAATATATTTTGGTAGCACGATCTGATAGGTAGCATGTTTCATCGGTACACCGGCTTGGGCTATAAATAGAGTGTTTCACTTTGTTTTCATATACTTTAGATTAGTGGACTAGCCTACTTTGTAAATCCAGTGAACAATTAATTGTAATACTATCAACAGCGTGTTACTGCTATTAGTGTTTGTGTATATGGAAGCATAACAAGTGATAGGCCTATGAACGCTGTTCAGACACTTGTAATGAAAGTAATTCATACCAGAACAGCAAGGGTTGGGATCCACTGAAGCGGAATAGCTGTCCATTGTTTACTGACAGAAAAGGAAAGCAGACGTTTAAAGAGCACTCGCAATATTACTATGGTAGTCTTGAGTAGAATTACCATTAAAACGTGAACATTTTTCTCACGACTCCTAACAGCTTGCTTTAAATGTCTAATAATATGTAAGCTATGCATTTTTTGTTGCATTTCCTTCTTTAAACCAGCTTGTAATGACATGCATTTTTCTTGATGGCCACTTGGAGACGTTGCCTACAATCTTTTCCATAACACAACCAGTTATAATGACTAGGATCTGCTGGCTTTTTGTATTTTCTGCTCTTATTTTGATCAAAATATCTGTGCTGTGTATTTAAACTTGGTAAAAGCAGAGTACTACAACATTCATTATAGTAACTAAAAGCTAAATTAAATGAGTTAAATATTTAATAAACAAAAATGTATAACAAACAACAAAAAATAATGAATAAAAAATGAATACATATGAATGTATGAAAAATACATGGCTACTTTTGAATGGCCAAAGATGAAGAAGAAAAAACGGTTTCACATTGACTTTATAAGACACAACATTTGTAGTTTTCAGCTGGCTCATTTTTATTGGTCTTATTTTCAGCTGGCTTGTCTTTGTGAATCTTGCCCCATCTTTCATGCAAGCTTACCTCTCCACTCGGATAGCCCTGATAAATGCATCGGGTCAACAGCTCAAAAGCTTCTGCCACATTGTGACCCGTTCTAGTCGAGGCCTCGATGTATGGCGCTCCCAATGCACTTGCGAACTGTTCCACCTCCTCTTGATTCACTTACCGCTCTTTTCTGTCACACTTGTGCCCTACAAGCATGAAGAGCACTGTGTACAGATGGACAATCTTGCTCACCTCTGTGTGCCGATGTTTAATGTAAGTAAAGGTCTTGTAATTGCCCAGGTCAAACACCAGCAGGCATCCAGCTGACTGAAGGAAGCAATGGCAGAGAGTTTTCCTGAAATCCTGAGAGATCATGAAGTTAAACAACCAATCACGCTGTGCATGGTGTATAACCCTGATCAATGAAAAAGCAAAATAGAAAAAAGGCGCTCAACCAAATAAAAAAAAGTTTCAATTCAATTCAAGTTTATTTGTACAGCGCTTTTCATGATACAAATCGTTGCAAAGCAACTTTAGAGAAAATTTAGTTTCTATAATATATTTAGTAGTAGCTTATCAGTGGTGACTCAGTTAATCAATTAAAGATGTAATCAAACAGACGATGAACACTATTAACAGCAATTATTATATGATGCAATCAAACTTATAGCAAAATGTGGTAGTTCTGTATGTTGTTTCAGGGTTGGCATCATCTCATCTCAGGTGTTCTGGATCCAGACTGTGGCAAAACATAATTAGCGTAGCTGCTGTTCCAAAATGTAACTCACTCAATACAAACTTCTTGTTTGTTGAATTGATTTTTAGGCTACGAAATCAGTGTCACATGTAAGATCTTGTTTTGCTTGTGTGATATTACTTAACTAGGCCTATAGCTTATCATATCTTATAAATCTAAAAAACAAAAATCTGTACAGGCATATTTTTGAATTTCATGAGCTGTAAGCTCTAATCATCAAAATTAAAACAATTTTTTTTATTTTTATGTTTTACTTTACATGTAATGAATCGAGAATATATGAAAGTTTCACTTTTTGAAATAAGTTACAAAAAAATTGACTTCATGATATTCAAATTTTTTTGGATGCACCTGTATAATAAATACATATTATTAATTCCATAAACAAAACAAAGAAAACATGCTAATTAAGCAAGCATGCAAAGTAACCACAGAGTGCTTGAATGAAATCAACCTGTGAAATTAAGTATGGAAATGTTGTAAGTTTATTTCATAAGCATAAAAAACTTTGTGATTTGATTTTTAAATCACAACATATTAGTTACAAAATACTTATTAGTAATAAAACAAAATTCAAGTCCATTTAAAAGAAACATATCACTGGGACAACATCTACTTTAATATAATAAAATATTTGTGATAGTGCTTAAATGATAATCGCATCCAAAATATACGTTTTTGTTCACATAATATACTGTGTATATTTATTATGTATACATAAATACAAACACATGCATGTATATTTTTAAGAAAAATGTTATGTTTATATATTAAATATATTTATATATAATATAAATTATATGAATATAAATATATACATGTAAATATTTTCAAAATATACACTGTATGTGTGCTTTTATATACATAAATATACAAAGTACACAAACATTATGTAAACAAAAACTTTTATTTTGGATGCAATTAATCACGAATAATCGTTTGACAGCACTAATTTGTGATTTATAGTGGTTTATGTCTTGCATGTTTTTATTTTGTAAGAATACATGACTACTTTTGAATGGTCATCAGTGGAAAAAATGTCCTAATGCAGTCTCGTATCAACTTTATGAAACACAGCATTTGCTGTTTTCAACTGGCTCATCCTTGTTGGTCTTGTTTTCCTGGATCTTGCCCCAGCTTTCATGTAAACGCACCTCTCCACTCAGATAGCCCTGATAAATGCGTCGGGTCAACAGCTCAAATGCTTCTGCCACATTGTGACCCGTTCTAGCCGAGGCCTCGATGTATGGCGCTCCCAATGCACTTGCGAACTGTTCCACCTCCTCTTGATTCACTTACCGCTCTTTTCTTTCACACTTGTGTCCCACAAGTACAAAAAGGACAGTGTATGGATTCACTCTATTACATACCTCTGTGTACTGACGCTCAATGACTCTGAAAGACTCACGATTGCCCAGATCAAACACCAGAAGGCATGACTACTTTTGAATGGTCATCAGTGGAAAAAATGTCCTAATGCAGTCTCGTATCAACTTTATGAAACACAGCATTTGCTGTTTTCAACTGGCTCATCCTTGTTGGTCTTGTTTTCCTGGATCTTGCCCCAGCTTTCATGTAAATGCACCTCTCCACTCAGATAGCCCTGATAAATGCGTCGGGTCAACAGCTCAAATGCTTCTGCCACATTGTGACCCGTTCTAGCCGAGGCCTCGATGTATGGCGCTCCCAATGCACTTGCAAACTGTTCCACCTCCTCTTGATTCACTTACCGCTCTTTTCTTTCACACTTGTGTCCCACAAGTACAAAAAGGACAGTGTATGGATTCACTCTATTACATACCTCTGTGTACTGACGCTCAATGACTCTGAAAGACTCACGATTGCCCAGATCAAACACCAGAAGGCATCCAGCTGAATGAGGAATGTGAAGCTGG